TATGCGTTTTTGCTGCCTGTTGCAGCGCTCTAGCGCTGCACGGCAAAAACGCATAAAAATTGGGAGATTGAAATTTTGGAAGGACATTCACCCTCCGAGGTTTCAAATTCAGCTTTCACGTGCCGGTCCGTGAAGCTTTTAACTACTTTTCAGCGTTTCAACTATTTTTGCACAGATTAAAGTAAAGAGCAATTGTTCGGTGGAAGGAATTGTACAAAAAGCATGATCACACCGGCTACCCTGATGAGCGTTGCTATTTATTTTTAGCACTGACTCACTGCAGAAAGGCAGACAAATTCACTGAGAACATACGCAGTTCCTGGTCATTTGAATCGATGATCCAACCATGTCTGAGTGGAATGTTGAGCATGTCAAACAGCGCACAAGCTGGAGTGTATTCAAATTTACTCACTCTGAAATTATGGGGAGTTGACTCGTTGATGGCAATTTCAAATATGATACAATGTGCCCAAAGCAAGTACGCACCCAGTGAAATGAATGTTGACGTCGAGACCCCGTGGTAGGGAAGGTATTAAAGTGAGCACGTCTTCTATATTTTGTTCATAATTTGCAAGCTCGCACTCCGTAATATCCTAAAACAAAGGAAAAATACACGTGGTTTTGAATACAGGCAACGAAACGCATATTTTAAACGATGCTTAAACAAGCCTTCGGTCTGAGACGGAAAATGCAATCTGCAACAAGCAGCAATAAGTGATTTTCATCGACCTGCGTGGAGCCATGTGGTAGAGAGATCTGTCCTAAAAATATGCGAGACTTTAGACCCTCCCTTCTCTTCTAATAACTGCTAAAAAAACCCCAAAAATTATGAGCAAACAGATCTAAACCTAGTTACATATCATCTCAGACACTGAATGTGGAGCGACAACTACCAATGAAGTCCAACAACAGCAAGCCATACACAACATTTTTAAAACTTTCCACTTATGGCATTTCTTTATTTTCAATGCAGTTTAGCACTTCTGAGAAAATTTTGCGTTGTCCTATTGTAATTTAACATCATGCTTACGGATTTCACGTCTTTCCGACCTGATTAAGTATTCACTTCTTCTTCCCAAACGGACGTTTTTGGAGTTTATCCTTCCTCATTTCCGTGAGACAAAAAAAGAGATCTGCGAAATTTTTCAAATAATAGCAATGCATTGTATCAAAAACAGAAAATGAAGCACTGCCAAGCAAACCTCTCAAAAGGAGCACATTGACAACAGCCAAAAGTGGACACGGTCCGTTCTCGTTTTGCATTACAATAGCGAAACCTATCCCGTGTATGTCGATCCATTTGACCTACACAAAAAGCCTTTCAGGGCCGTAATTGCACCTTTTTTACAAGCAAACTCTGGATTCTCGATACCATCGAAATCGCTGTGTCTGCATTTGACGCACTTGTCCTCGCTTCACGGCATTACTCTGCATCAAAGGCCGGTGGTGAGAAATACTGCCTGGTTATTCGTTGGAATTCACAACATACTCTCTTCTCGCCCAGTTACATCTTTATTTTTTATCTGAATCTCTCTCCTCCTCTCCCCATTTCCCACGTTCTCTCCGTTCCGAACTCCAGCTCCAATTCAAGACGAAAAATAAAGGAAAATTGCGCAAATTGCTTGCTTGTTATCAATGGATTAAATTTCGCGGTTGTTTTTTCCGAGCAATATCGCCTTTTTGCGCAACTGTCACGAACTAAATCACAAAGACAATGACTAAATCACAATTAAATAAACCCACTTGCCATAACTAAATTATAATCAAACATTTTCTGCAACTGATCACACACTCATTTCACTAAAGTGCTCAGAAAAGTAAGCCTATTCCCCACTCCTCTACCTCTCACATCCTCTTCCCCACCCATCTGACCAGCAAATTACTTTAGCGATGGCCCAATTTTGATGACTCCGAGCGTAGCCTTTTTATGGTCAGTCGCCCAAATTCGGTTCTCTAAGTTAACTGTAACCTGTATTTCCAGTGAATTTAATTTCTTTACAGCACATTAGTCCAATTTACTAACAGTCTTCTGCCTTAATCTACTGCGTAAAGCAAGCGCAGAAATATGTATGTCATGTCAGAAAGATAACAAATGCAGAACCAAATTTCAAAACCAAGAAAGAGTTTACAGAGAAACCTAATGAACTTTCAAAAAAAAAAAAAACGACGAACTACTTTAAAACCAGATTTTACAAACCAGGATAGGTATAAGAAAGTATTTGCGGTGTCTTTCAGGTGCAAATACGAAATGTAACCCCGACTAGAGCTTGTTCATGTCGCTGCCAGATACATGACAACCCCTGCTACTGCTAATATAAAAACTCCAATGACGCACTTGACCATAACAACAACTAAAACTTGGCTCGGCTTGGCCATGCAATTTGCACCTGTTTTTGGCTTCAAGTCGTGATAAACTGTAGCACCGGGTTTTTGTCTAGGTAAGGTGCTAGGTGTTGCGTTCAAAACTACTAACTTACCCTCAGCAATAATTTTCAGGCTGCGCATCAAAAACCCACAGATCCCACCCCGCCTTCCAATTCCTACCTTCAA